TCAAAATCAGCAAAAAAATGACTACATCACGGTACGTCGGTTCCCAACATTGAACTTATTAGGAGATTTGGCACGCTACACCTAGCGGCAGCTGAGGCAAGAGAAAAGCTCTTATGGGCAGCACTTTAACGCTTCAATTACTTCGGAACCACCACAGATGAAAAATGTGGAGATCAAAAGGTTACAGTGCCACCAGCACAATTATCGGATGCAAAACTAGCTCTCCCTTGTCGAATATGGTACTCCCGAAATTAAAAAAAATTCATGTAACTAAGTTAGATACTCTAGAGACTTCACCTCTTTTTTTTTTCAGCTTTTGTTTTTTGTAGCGTCGTGACGACATCGCATGTTTTGGCATTTTCCACCTCGTGGGACAGGAGCGATTTTGCGACCGCGCCGTCCTCACCTTACTTACGCTTATTTTTTGTTAAAAATGCACAATAACTTGAATTTCATAGGACTATTTCGGCAAGGACGATCGCACAAAGGTTAAGTATATAAGTAGCAAAAGGTTTTCGTTTAGAAGAGCGCATAATAACCACGAAGAAGTAAAAAAACATCACTTTCGCTGCGAATGAAATTAAAAGCATTTATATCTAAGTACTCCCATCAAATCAAATATATTGAAACTCACAGAGTTTTGTTTCAACTAACTCTAAAATCTTTCATAAGAATATTGACGGCAGTGAAAGTATTATTAAGAAAGAATCGGAACGAAAGTTTTGTGCGTTCGGAAAATCTTTGCTTAATCAAAAGATACTTGACCACTCTAGCTGCCAAGCGGTTTATAGTCATGCTAATGTATTATCTATAGAATGAATACAAGAAACCCGAGAGGAAGGAGCGCAAGCACGATAAAAGTGAGTAACATAGACTTGACGCGCTTGCGCGTCAGAATGTCCGATGCGGTGCGAAATTCTTGACGCTCATGCGCGTCAGCTTGTCGTCAACGTGTTAGTGGATAGATGTCACTGGGACTCTACTTGGGGCTTCTACATGACAGAGCCTTCAAAATTAAGCAAAAGTTTCCAGAAAGCGATTTTTAGAGATCATTGCCTTCAAAGAATTGTCACAATTGGACGCCGTCCACTATCCTACTATATATAAGCGGCTAGCGTGTGTCTGTTGGTGTGTGTGTGTGTGTATGTTTGAACGGAAATTCATAGCTCGAGTCACAGTAACGATAGCGCAGTGGTTCTTACATATGTTATAGGGGGTGGGATGGGGACACAAGTGGTACGTGATAGGATGATAGGAACTGATAACGACTGACAATTGCTGATAAGAGGGGTTAGAAAGCGAGATCCTTTCTATTATGAGTTTGCCGTTCTATTAGTAAAGAGCGTCTTATACTCAAGTGTTTACGGTGGGCGGGTCTAGGTCGATTTGCAAAAGTACATTAACATAGCTTGTCAATTCAGAAAGCGTGGCCGTGCCCTAGGCGTGATCACTGGAAAGGGCGAACGAAAGCAGCTCGTACCACGACGCTCCTTTTTCTAACCGATCTTCTGCTTTAAATAGCCTCCTTCCGCAAAATTCTATCCAGCTTTGAAAATTGCGACTCACCTTTATCCAGAGTTTTGACCTGCCAGCATCAATCCTTGATAGCGAGCGATCCTCTCCAAAAAAATCATAATACGACGCACTGTTAGCAACTGCGCACCGCACGATGGATCCTGCTCCGAGCACGCATCGTCCTTTTTTCTTTCTACCGATCTTGGGGATCTTCTAGCGATTCGTTTGGGTATATCTAGCAAGAGCTGTATTTCAAGCAGAAAAACACTTCTGGAAGACGTTTTCACCGCTCGCGACGCTTCGCATGCCGAGCACTTCGCGAAGCCTTTAACGAGTGCAGTGACAACAAATGCGCCTGTTTTGCCAGCGCCTTGAAGTAGACCCGCTACCCGTTAGGATTTAACGTCCGTCTCCTTCTGTTTCACAAGCACCTACCCGCGCAGAGCAGGTTACCGTTCGCGGGAGTTCTTCAAACTTGCCATAGCTCAGTGGCGATTACAACTACCATTGGCAAAATCTATGTGATATTTGGAGCCTTTCCAGCACATCAAAATTTTATTTTCAGCGTTTGTTTATTGAACAATCAAGTGAAAAATCAGAAAGAAAGAAACATTTCCAAGTCAGCAAGACAAACGTGAATGCAGTCGAAATGAGAGAACTACCCGCTGACAAGTACATATTTGACAAATTAATCTGATTATGTTCACCCGAACGGCACGCCGTCCTTGATGTTTGCAGGGAATATAAGTACTGCTAGGATCTTTGAATAAATCATTTTATTGACTCTGCATTGTAACAAACAGATAAACAGTACCAACATAAACTCGTGCCGTTATCACACCCCAAGTTGTTGGTTTGAGCATGACAACCAGACGGGGACTGGTCATGGGCAGAGTAGGTACCCACTTATCGTAGTATGTGACCCTCTACAGCGCTTTTCCCCATTTTTGATCAATGAGTTTGTACATATAGTTGAACAGGAGGTTGAGGCAACGCTAATTCGATGAGAAGTAGTAGATCGTAGATACCTTCGATACAACGGCAGTGGATTTTCGGTGTTGTTTTCGAGAGCTAAGATGAAGGGTTGAGGGAACTGCAAATGTCATGGAAGCGGAAACTCTCCGCAGATTCCGCAGGTTCCATTGCAAGAAAAAAAAAACTTTATAAGCATTCTGCCTCAGAACAATTTCGTAGTATGCGATAGCGCGAGAAAGTCTTGTGGTGGCAGTCCTTTTCGGTCTGATATACAACGCAGGATCGAGATTACGCGTAACTCGCCGTTTGAAATCGAAAATTCACGCGAATAACGCGAATCCTCGTTAATTTCGTGAATTCGTTATAACTCGGTTCAAAATTGAGCTTTCGAGAATCCGAAGATATCTTTGAATTCAGCTCGTCGGACTCTATAAGAATGTGCTTTGATACTTTGGAAAAGCTATATAGGATTGCGCCATGCACTCGAGTTTCATCACTAGAAATAACTGATTAGATGAAATAGCGACATAGCGACGTATCGATCGGTCTGCCGGCCGAAGGCCATCGGCCGTCACGTGAGCTCTCACGCACCGCGCACGTGAATAGCACGTGGGTGGCCAGGGCTGAGGAAGGCGATCGGCAATAAGGAAAAGGCTGAAAACGGTGAAAAACAAAGTTTCAAGTGGGGCAGTGCATGCATATCATTCGATAGCATTTTTCATGGGGAATCTAACGGGGCACATCTTCAGGTCTGCGAGTTCATCTGGAAATGCAAAAAATCTGATCTTTCCACAAGGGCATGACGAGGAGGCATGTTTGGGGCCACACCACGGAAGAAACGCTCACCTGCGACCAAGCACGTCTATATTTCCTACAGACAAGTAAGCGTAGTGTAGGAAGTGAAGAGATTTCGTCGCTATCTCCTCAGGTTTCTCCAAAAAATCTCTTGGAAAATTGGGAAATGTCACGAAATGAGACTGCTAGTCCTGCTGAAAACTGATCTAAGATTCTCGTTCGAACTCAAGAGAATGGGATTTTCGGCGCAGAGACTACACGTCTCACCATTCAGCTCCTTGAAATGAAATAGAAATCATGGAAACTTGAAAAAAGTTTCAATTAATCTCGCAATCTAGTGCACAAAGTCGAGTACGTGGCGCATTCTGGGACAATGCCCCAAGCCCATCTTTCTATGAAACGATCAGGCTCCACTAGTGTGATTAGGTACGCATCACATCCAATCAGTTATTTCTCGAGATGAAACTCGAGTGCATGGCGCAATCCTATATGGAGCTTTTCCAAAGTTCAAAGCACATTCTTATAGTGTCGACGAGCTGAGTTCAAAGATATCTTCGGATTTTCGAAAGCTCAATTTTGAACCGAGTTATAACGAATTCACGAAATTAACGAGGATTCGCGTTATTCGCGTGAATTTTCGATTTCAAACGGCGAGTACTGTAGTTCTAATTTTACAGGCTTTGAATACAATCCTATTCCACTGAACCAGCGTATTACTGTCGATTGGGAGAAGGAGCAGGGAAGGAAAAATTAGTTTATGGAAAACTCCTAAGCATGACCGAATTTCACATAAAATTCTAATCATTGTAAAAATTACGAATAACACTAATCAGACTCAACACTCTGTTGATTACCTTCTAGGGTCGCAGAACTCTTAACAAGGCCTAATTGTAAGAATGGAATAACTATTTTTTGAACTTCCCCAATTTTCTTTCAAATTCGGCAGAATTCCGTCCATAATCCTGACTTTTTTCTGCCAAACGTTTCCATGCCCTTTCCCATCGCGTCTCGGTGACGCTCAGATCATGAGTCCGAATTGGTTCCTCCGGTAAAAGCACGCCGCGCTGTCGAAAGCCACTCGTGCACAGTTAATTGCGATGTTTGAAAAGTTTTATTATCAGAAGGCCAGTCAGTACGATGCAGTTGGCATGCATCTGGATAAAAAACCCTTCTGAAATATATACCTGTGTACGCTTAGTGTGCCTCTGCCCAATCCCTCACGGAGTTTACCAATTGGCGCCGAACCTCCGCCTTGTTTCACGATGGCAGTTGGAGCTTTGGAGCGAACCGTTTCACTTGAGTACGCATTATGTATCTATTTCTGTAGCAGCCAAACATCATAAATTTATTCTTGCCGCTCTTGATGAAGATTTTGAAGCCCTGCTTCTGGACTTCAGTTCAGGTGTCGGACCCACTCCATTCTCTCTCATTCCGTAGGGACAACTTCACAGGAGAGGTGAACACAATAACAGGCAAGCCAAGGAGGCGTTGTGAATCCACACGCACCTCACTCTTCTTCGCGGCCGAAACTACGCTTTTTTGCAGATGGGGGATTGGGAGTCATACCAAAATTTTCTCCAATGTAGGGGTTCTGCTTAATCCGATTTCTTTCAACATTACTAACTAACCATGGCGGATGGGTCGTCGTAAATATAAATAGTCGAGACCTTCGGTACTTCAGTGGGTTCGATGTTTTGGGGTTATCGATGGCTTTATTAGTCAATGCTTGCCTTAGGCCTGCCTCCTTTTGACAGTCTGTTGGCTCCATTCAATTCATACTTGAAATGGGCGATTCTCGATTCTCTCTAAAAATTGCATAGGAGTACAATAGCGTCCCTTAAAGCCATCATCATCAAAAATATAGGACATGCCTGCCGAATTGAGAAAGAGGTCTAATGTAATGCAGCATGTGGACAGCGTCCGTATCAGCTACCGGGAGGCGTTCCATCGATAATACTTTACCTCTCAGAATCCTTCGCGAAGGATATCAATCGTGTCATCAAGAGATCTGTGAATCGCGAACTGCAGCACCGCCTCCCTTGCAAAACTCGGTACTGCACTGTTCATTATTCGTTTGATTGAGCAGTGGGAGAGGGTGCATCCTTTCACTTGGTGCCCTTGTTCATACATGGATACATTACATCATTCGTAGCGATGCATGAGCCTCCCGGGTCAACCGCCCTTCATCCGTTTTTTTCCTTAGGTTGGGTCGCGTGGTTTGCTGAGGGATTCGTGTTTTCAATGTAATGGTGTAATTGTCTATCTATAGCGATTGTTTGAAATTAGCAGTGTCTGTATCTGTAGATCCTGAGGGCCTGAGGCCCGGATTGTTATCCATAAAAGCGTTTGTAAGAGCTTTTTCGAGGTTGGATCACAACGACATTTGGGAGCAAATTGTGCATGTTTGCAGTTCGTTTAAATGGAGCAATAATAATACATTATACGAAGTTATACGATTGCAAGCAATTAACATC